AAAAAAACTAAGATCATGGCCACTGGTCCCATCACATCCTGGCAAATAGAAGGGGAAAATATGGAGGTAGTGACAGATTTTACTTTTTTGGGCTCCATAATAACTGCAGATTGTGACAGCAGTCACGAAATTAAAAGACGCCTTCTTCTTGGGAGGAAAGCGATGACAAACCTCGACAGCATCTTAAAAAGCAGAGATATCACCTTGCCAACAAAAGTCCGCATAGTCAAAGCTATGGTTTTTCCTGTAGTGATGTACGGAAGTGAGAAAGCTGACCACCGAAGAATTGATGCTTTTGAACTGTGGTGCTGGAGGAGGCTCTTGTGAGTCCCCTGGACTGCAAGGAGAACAAACCTATCCATCTTGAAGGAAATCAACCCTGAGTGTTCACTGGAAGGACAGATCCTGAAACTGAGGCTCCTATACTTTGGCCATCTCATGAGAAGAGAAGACTCCCTGGAAAAGAGCCTGATGATAGGAAAGTGTGAGGGCAAGAGGAGAAGGGGACGACAGAGGATGAGATGGTTGGACAGTGTCATCGAAGCGACCAACATGAATTTGACCCAGCTCTGGGAGGCAGTAGAAGACAGGAGGGCCTGGTGTGCTCTGTTCCATGGGGTCACGAAGAGTCGGACACGACTAAACGACTAAAGAACAACAACAAGAGCAGATATGGAGGCAAAACCTGATGGAAAATAATCAAATAGCTGTCAGGATTGTGACTAACCTCTACCAATCTAAGGTGAAGGCTGCTAGTCTATCTTACTTCGCTGTCCGGATAAGCGAAGTCTCCAACCAGCAAGCAGAACTTTTCTGTATCGTTCGAGCAGATATGGAGGCAAAACCTGATGGAAAATAATCAAATAGCTGTCAGGATTGTGACTAACCTCTACCAATCTAAGGTGAAGGCTGCTAGTCTATCTTACTTCGCTGTCCGGATAAGCGAAGTCTCCAACCAGCAAGCAGAACTTTTCTGTATAGTTCGCGGTCTATCCAGAGTTGGTCATAGTGACTGGTCTCCCACTACCATCTCACCTAACCAATTTGCAGCCTTTTAAAAATCAAAAGTGGAGGCCATCCGTCGGGATCTTGCCCCCTATTTGAAAACAGTGGATTGAGCTGAGACGTCCAGCGCCCCGTCTCACCCGATGAGACTTAACCACTTTAAGTCTGTGACATCAAACATGGTGGACCGCTGTTGTGCCACCACCCCCTTCCTTGACCCTTGCCCAGCCTGGCTAATCAAAGCAGCCAGGCCTATAACATCTGAATGGGCTACAGCAACAATTAATCAATCTCTCCAGGAGACACTCATTAGGCCCATTAGGAAGAAACCAAGCTTGGTGGTGGACGATATTGGTAATTATAGGCCCATCACCAATGTTTCCTTTCTCAGCAAGGTAGTTGAGAGGGTGGTAGCCTATCAGCTGCAGGGTCTTTTGGATGAAACCAATGCCCTGGATCCATTCCAGTCAGGCTTCAGGCCATGCCACAGCACATAAACAGCATGGGTTGCCTTGTTTGATGACCTGCTGAGGGATGCCAACAGGGGCAGAATGTCTGTGCTAGACCTCCTCAATATCTCAGCCACCTATGATAGCGTCACCATGATATTCTTCTGGGGAGGCTCTACAAGTTCAGATTCGGTGGCCAGGCTCTTGCCTGGCTCTGTTCCTTCTTGGAGGACCATCCCCAGAAAGTGCAGATTGGAGAGAGTTTCTTGGCCCGTGGAGCCTTAACTGTGGGGTTCCGCAGGGCTCCATTATCTCTCCAATGCTGTTTAACATCTATATGAAGCTGCTGGGAGGGGTCATCAGGGGATGTGTGGCTTCGTGTCATCAGTACATTGATGATACGCAGCTCTGCATCTCCTTTTTTCCAAAAACAGTGGATGCTGTCTCGTCCCTTGAACGCTGCCTGGGGGCTGTTCAGCAGTGGATACAGGTGAATGGACTGTGGCTGAATCCGGGCAAGACAGAACTCCTTCAGATGGGTGCCCCAGACATCAGTGGTCTGGGAAACTCCCTTTCCTTTGCGGGGGTGACTGTTACCACCAAGAGTGAGGTTCATAGCTTGGGTGTACATCTGGACCCGGCGCTCACCATGGAGACCCAGGTGTCATCAGTGGTCCGTTCTGTACATTTCCACCTTCAGTGGATTGCCCATCTGTGTCCCTATCTTGATGTGGGGGTGGTCACCATTTTGGTCCATGCACGTGTAGTCTCAAGATTAGACTACTGTAATGCAATCTATGTGGGGCTGCCTTTGAGATTGATGTGGAAACTTTAGATGGTACAAAATGTGGCAGCCAGACTTCTTACTGGGGTGAAAAGGTACCAATATATTTCCCCCATGCTGGCCGCCTTGCATTGGCTGCCGATTCATTTCTGCATTGATTTCAAAGTTCTTACGATGACATATAAAGCCCTAAACGGTTTAGGACCTCGATATCTGGCAGAGCACCTTCTCCCACCCAGTTTTGCCAGTGTCACTCATTCCAGCGAGGCTGGGCAGCTGAGGGGCCTAACGCCAAGGGAGGTCTGGAAGGAAAGAATGAGGAACCGGCCTTCTCAGCAGTGGCCCCTCACCTCAGGAACAATTTGCCCATGGAGATCCGCCTGGCTCCATCTCTGGGTGTCTTCAGAAGTAAACTCAAGTCTTGGCTATTTGGGCAGGCTTTCCCTCCTGCTATATCTTAAATTCACCATCTTGGATTTATTGCATGTTTATTGGTTTTACTGTTTTTAAATTTGTAATGCTTCCTAGAGTAGACCTTTGGTCTAGATGGGTGGGGTATAAATCTAATAAAATAAATAAATAAATGCCCATACACTTATACGTATGTATATTACTACCTGTGGGCACATAAATATATTGATTTTCATTTTAAAAAAATATAGTATAAAGATGCATAGATATGAGTTTGGGCTAAATATTACTCATCTAGATTTCTATAAAGAAATTTTAGGTTTGCATCTGTTGGCATTATCGTGATGATATTTTAGTAAGTGTCTCTTCAGTAGCTCAACGAATATAATATTTTTCTTATTTTTTTTCAGTGGAGTTGGATTCAGTTTCCTCTTCTCTTGGGCTCTTATGCTAATAGTAGTAGTCACTTTCATCACTGGTGGAAATGTGGAAAAGCTTGTGTGTGAGCCATTTGAAGACAAGACTTTGTTGAAAGTAAGGTTCTCCATATAAGGAGTGTTAAATGATTAACGAGATGGCGTGCATTTTTGTCTGACTAGTATCCTGCCGGAATGAATGCTACAGATGAGATCATGGCAATCTGGTGAGGTGTGGGTTGCGTGACTTCCATTCTGTATATGGCCAATCTAATAGGGCAGTGGTCCCCAACCTTGGGCCTCCAGATGTTCTTGGACTTCAGCTCCCAGAAATCCTGGCCAGCAGAGGTGGTGGTGAAGGCTTCTGGGAGTTGTAGTTCAAGAACATCTGGAGGCCCATGGTTGGGGACCACTGTAATAGGGTACTGTCATCCAAGCATTCAAATCAGATGACCACTTTATAATATGACTCTAATGTTTTCCTGCACCAGCACAGAATGGGTGGTGAAAGGACTTTTCATGTGGTTCTTAAGACCAGAGCAGCAAATTTATGAAGTGTTGGACATGTGTCTAGGCTTCTGCCTGGTCACATGGTCACTTCCTCATGGCAGCTTCCACAATTCTTCTGCTGCATATTAAATTCAGTGAGGAAGAAGAGGAGGTTCCAATCTTGTTAATATAATTAAGATAACAAACTAGTAGCAACTTAGTTCTTAAGATGTTAATCAGACTGTTACCCCATGAATCAGTTTTAATATGATATTCTGGAAGAGTTATCTCCACATACAAAATGTCAACAGAGATCATGTGGCTGATTATAACTAAAAGCAGTGAAAATGGCTTAAATTCTGTTGCTTAGTATAGTGAGTCATACTAGAGTAGGACTATTGAATAAGCCAACACCTCTGTAAGTTCCATTTATTCAAATGGGCCTAGTCTAATTGCAACTTAATATGGGAGAAAGTGAGCAGGTGGCAAGCTAGAAATTGAAATTCTCCAAATTCAGATCGATTATTTCATTTTTTTTCCACTTGTCCAGGGTCAATTTCCCATTATTATTATTATTAGTCATACTAGAGTAGGACTATTGAATAAGCCAACACCTCTGTAAGTTCCATTTATTCAAATGGGCCTAGTCTAATTGCAACTTAATATGGGAGAAAGTGAGCAGGTGGCAAGCTAGAAATTGAAATTCTCCAAATTCAGATCGATTATTTCATTTTTTTTCCACTTGTCCAGGGTCAATTTCCCATTATTATTATTATTATATTCCGCATCAAGAATAAATCTGATTGTTCAAATCTTCAAGCACTATTTTACCAGCTACACAGAGACATATTGAACTATATTTTACTCATTGACCTCAGGGTTGGAGCTCTCGAGGTAATTGGTTCCATTGCTGTACTGCTCTAACAGTTAAGTTTTTCCTGATACTCAACCGAAATCTGCTTTCCTGTAACTTGAGCCCATTGTTGTGTGTCATGCACTCGGGGATTATTGAGAACAGCCTGCACCTCCTCTGAATGACAGCCTTTCGAATTTAAAAAGTGTTATCATATCTCCCCTCAGTCTCTTTTCTTAAGGCTAAGCATGTCCAATTCTTCCAGTTTGTCCTCATAGGGTTTGGTTTTCAGCCCCCTGATCATCCTTGTTGCCCTCCTCTGAACCTTTTCCAATTTGTCAGCATCCTTCTAGAAGACTGATGTCCAGAATTGGTAAGGCCTGACCAGTGCTGAATAGAGGGGAACTAGCACATTGCAGGATTTCAAGACTATGTTTCTGTTAATTCATCCTAAAACAGCATTTGCCTTTTTTGTAGTCACATCACACTGTTGGCTCATATTCAGCTTGTGATCTACAATGATTCCAAGACCCTTCTCACTTGTAGTATTGCTGATCCAGGTATCCCCCATCTAGCAACTGTGCTTCGGTTTCTTTTTCCTAGATGTACTTTGCACTTATTCCTGTTCAATTTCATTCTGTTGTTGTCAGCCTAGTGCTCCATCCTATCAAGATCATTTTGAATTTTTAAAAAACAATTTAAAACACTGATGTTTCGGCAGGCCTTCCCAACCAATCCCTGATTTTCCCTCTTTTTTCCTCTCTCCTAGTGTCTGTTCCATCTTGTCTAAAGTTTGTCCCCTTTCTAAAATTGTTTTAATTATATTGTATCACGCTTGTTGTAAGCCGCCTAGAGTGGTCTTAAGTGACTAGATAGGTGGGATATAAATAAAATAAATAAAATAAAATAAAATAAATTGTTTTTGTCTTCTAGGGTATTAGCTAGTCCGGCCAATTTTGTGTCCTCTGCAGATTTAACAAGCATTCTCTGTATCCCCTGATCCAAGTCATTAATAAAAATATTGAAGAACACAGGACCCAGGACTGAGCCCTATGGTACCCTACTTGGTATCTTCTCCCGGTCTGAGAAGGAGCCATTAATCATCACCTTCAGAGTACGCATGTTAGCAATTTGGTCTCCAGTTCCTCTGCCCCTTCAAAATGCAGCTTGTACTTCTGGGAGTTCTCGGTCCACATACTGCTGAGTGCAATTGTACAGTAGTTGGAGCATTCTTTGGCACTGCCCTTCTTTGGGATTGTGATGTAGACTGATCTTTTCCAGTCCTCTGGCCACTGTTGAGTTTTCCAAACTTGCCGGCATATTGAATGTAGCACCTTAACGGCGTCATCTTTTAAAATTTTAAATAGTTCCACTGGAATGTCATCACCTCCACTGGCCTTGTTGTTAGCCATGCTATCTAAGGCCCACTTGACTTCACTCTCCAGGATGTCTGGCTCATGGTCAGCAACCACAGTATCTGGGTTGTCCGGGATATCCAAATTTTTCTGGTATAATTCCTCTGTGTATTCCTGCCACCTCTTCTTGATGTCTTCTGCTTCTGTTAGGTCCCTCCCATCTTTGTACTTTATCATGTCCATCTTTGCACAAAATGATTCTTTAATATTTCCAATTTTCTTGAACGGATCTCTGGTTTTTCCCTTTCTGTTATTTCCCTCTATTTCTTTGCACTGTTCATTTAAGAAGTCCCTCTTGTCTCTCCTTGCTATTCTTTGGAAGTCTGCATTCAATTTTCTGTAACTTTCTCTATCTCCCTTGCATTTTGTTTCCCTTGTCTGCTGGTTGTAAGGCCTCATTGGACAGCCACTTTGCTTTCTTGCATTTCCTTTTCGTTTGAATGGTTTTCATTGCTGCTTCGTGTACAATGCCCACAATAGTAGATATGAGAATCATCTGAATTGAATTTGCCCATTCCCATCCATTTTAATTCATTGACACTCAGGATGTCAATGTTGATTCTTGCTATCTCCTGCTTGACCGCCTCCAGCTTCCCAAGGTTCATAGATCTTCCATTCCAGGTTCCTATGCAGTATTTTTCTTTGCAGCATCAGATTTTCCTTTCACTTCCAGGCACGTCCACAGCTGAGCATCCTTTCGGCTTTGGCCCAACCACTTCATTAGCTCTGGAGCTACTTGTAGTTGTCCTCCACTCTTCCTCAGTAACATGTTGGATGCCTTCCAACCTGAGGGGCCCATCTTCCAGCATCATATCTTTTAGCCTTTAGTTTCTGTTCATGAGGTATTCTTGGCAAAGATACTGGAGTGGAATTGCCAATTCCTACTCCAGGTGGATTACGTTTAGTCAGAACTCTTCACTATGACCTGTCCGTCTTGGGTGTCCCTGCACGGCATAGCCCACAGCTTCTCTGAGTTACTCAAGCCCCTTTGCCATGACAAAGCAGCAATCCATGAAGGGGAACTGCTTGCATAGTGACCGCTTAATAATCTGTTTCAGAATTTTCCTGGCCTCTAGTTCCCAGGTTCCTCTTTTTGCTCTTTTTGAAGTTAGGGACAAAATTAGCCATTCTCCAATCATTGGGCACTTGACCCATTTCTCATGATTTCAAGAAAATAATGGAGAGTGGTTCTGAGAGCTCTTCAGCCAGCTCTTTCAATACTCTTGGATGCACTTCATCCGGCCCTGGAGATTTGAACTTGTTTAGCTGCAGGCCCACATATTATGGGGTTAAAATAAACATAATGTGATTAAACATGGGGGCTTCACCTCAGAATAAAGTCCAAGACATCTGTTTTCCTGTTGGTGTTTTGATGACAATGCAAAAACTCATAATAACATTTTCTTGTTTCTCTTTTGCTCATGTTTTCTGAGCTGGAGGTGGGAAAATAGGCAGGAAATAATTCCAGCAGTTTTTATGTACCCTCCAGTTGCATTATAATTCTGGCATTTCTCCATTTGCAGGAAAGATTTCCCTCCCAAGACACACACACACACACACACACACACACACACACACACACACACACACACACACACACACACACACACACACACACACACACACACACAACAAAAGAGGTGAACCATATAGGGGTAATTGGATCCAAATTTATGTATTTATAAAATGTGGATGTAATTACTGGGACTGCTATCCACCTGTGACGTTTACCCATGTGGCCCTTGCTTGTTTCACCAAACACAGAGCTCACAAGAGTATCCCAACACATCCTTTACCTCGCTGCCACCAGTTGACCTCTGTCAACTCCCTTTAATCAGAAAGTTTGCAGTCCAATTGATTTAAATTTGTACCAGATTTAACTTTTGAGGTGTGAGGGTATGAGAATAATCCAGATAATTATGTGGTTCATTATTTTTGTCAGAAAGTAAATTAAGTTATATTTTACCTAGATGTGTGTGTGTGTGTGTGTGTAATCTAAAGCTCCATTTAAAGTTAAGATGTGGAAAGATAAAAGCTTAACTATCTGTTGTTTTATAGTTTCTGGACACTCCCTACTTGTTGAATCGTCAATGGAAACATTATCTTTCTGGCATAATTTTAAAAAATCCTGATATTGACTTGACCTTTGAAAAGGTTTACAGGTAACTAACTCTTCACTGTGATGTGATACAAGCTATTGCACTAATGTATTTTCAAAATTCTGAACTGCATTCATTTATCTGAACTTTTCTACGAATCAGTGCAGTCAACGATTAGTGTTCCAATTAGTATTTAGTGTGACTCACTGGAAGCAAGCCCAAATTTTGTGCTATTAATAATTATAAGTGAACTGGAGGTATTTGTCTTCTATTCTCTCCCCTTTTCACACAAACATTTAAATACAGAGAGAAAGGGAAGGAGGGAAGGAGAGAGAGAGAGAGAGAGAGAGATTTGATTCCTTTACATCATGCAGATGTCAGCCTTTCTGTTGTGCTACATTAAAACGGAGTTCTTCCCAAGTTTAGAGGGGTAACTAGACATTGTTTTGCCTTGGGGATTAAAGGTATTATAAGGGGGCAATGCAGGACATGCATCTTCTGCACATGCAGTCATCTCCAGTTTTAAAAGAATGATAAAATTAACTCAGATATTTTATTATGGTGTGCTGCTTTTCAGTCTTGTGAGCACATAATAGAATATGTGTATGCAAGGAGGGTATTGTATGAAATATAAGTGATATTAGAATTTATCTTCGTAAGTATAGAGATGACCTTGATTATTTGGAAAAATATTTTATATACGCACAGAAGTTGCATTTACAGTGGTGCCTCGCTAGATGATTGCTTCGTTTAACAATGAATTTGCTTAACAATTAGTTTTCCTGAGCAATCTTGCACTCCGTTTAACGATGTTTCCTATGGGCGATTTTTGCTGTACAATGGCAATCCGTACCCATTGGAACGGATTATCAGGGTTTCAGTGCATTTCAATGGAAAACCACATTTCGTTTGACGAAATCGCTCGACAGCGATTTTTGCGGAACACATTAACCTCGTCTTGTGAGGCAGCACTGTATTTGTCTATAATGATGTGCACAGTTCAGCTGCTTAAATTCACTTAAATTAACATAACTGTGTGAAGGCTTGCAGCTTTTACTATAAATGAGAGAATGAATTACAACAACCTGAACTTTAAATAGCGCATATTTTTAGTGGCTGTAACCTGAAAAATAGATACATCTAGACTGGCTTATTTGTTATCTGACAATTTATAATGGCCCTAACAGGGTTTAAAGGTTTGTGAGGTAATTAAAGTGTTGTTTTACAAGTTCCAACCCCCAGTGAGTTAATATGGCTTGAATCCAGGATTCCTGAGTCATTGTCTGTCACTCTATCCACAACACCACATTGAGTACTACTTCCTGGATTGTAATCCAGGAAAACTCATAGTAAAGTAAGTTTATTAATCTTAAAAGGGTCACAAAACTGCAAAGTACCATGGTATTCATTGTTTAACTGTTATCTAGAGAACTGTTCAAAGTACTTGCAAAGCACTGGATGCACCCTTTGAATGGCAGACATCTGTGCTGTGCCACAAACTGCTGTTTAAACTCCTGTCTTAAATTTGTTTTTTTACCCCTGTCATGGAGGGGGAAATTGGTTTTGGTTTGCATGAAAATAGTCCACAGTCCTTAGAATCTAAATGACCAGTACTTCTGAAAATCTATTCTGAATGTTTGTCTTCTGTAACTAGAAATCCTGTCATCTAACTTTGTTGTGTGTTTAGTGACTGCAAAGAAAACAAAGGCATTTATCCTACCCTTCACTTGGAAAGAATCTTTAATATCCATGAAATTCTGAATGTTAACATGGTAAGTCTTCTTAAGCTGCAAGTTGGAATGTTTTAATGCTTCATGTTTTGCTGGGATAACCTTCCCTTCTCCATAAATGACATTTGGATGGCAGCACCTAAAGTGGAATGTTGCTGAATAGAGGCCTCTTATTCAGAAAGCCAACTAGACTTGTTCTCTCCCACAATTTCATTCTTCTTCTACCTCACTTCTGCCTTCTCTTTCACGTATCAGGCAAAGTCTAAAGAAACAAAACAATGAGTTGTTGTTGTTTAGTCGTTAAGTCATGTCCAACTCTTTGTGACCCCATGGACCAGAGCACACCAGGCCTTCCTGTCTTCCACTGCCTCACGGAGTTGGGTCAAATTCATGCTGGTCGCTTCAATGACACTGTCCAACCATCTCATCCTCTGTCGTCCCCTTCTCCTCTTGCCTTCACACTTTCCCATCATCAGAGTCTTTTCCAGGGAATATTCTCTTCTCATGAGATGGCCAAAGTATAGGAGCCTCAGCTTCAGGATCTGTCCTTCCAGTGAAACAATACAATACTTTTCTAAAAAAGAAAGAAAATAAAAGACCAATACATGTGGCACCTCAAAGACTAACTGCTATTTTTTTTAATGTAAGCTTTTGTGGACATAAAGAGACAGAATGAAATGAAATGAATTGTATATGAAATATCAGTTTCACATTCTAAATGTTCATTGGTTATATGCAGTAATTAGGCCTATGTTTGTTTCACAGTCCTGTTGTAAATATCCTTCAGGAAGACAGACACCAGGTCTGAGCAGAGATGACAGGTGGGTGGGGGAGAAGAGAGGGGTTTGGGGTGTTTTTTTTGTAGATGTAGCAAACTTCAAGAGGGGAAAGAAGGAATTAAAGAATTTAGCCGAGGAAACACATGTGTTAATGGAGGGAATATAAACAGTTTTACCGTAGAGCCTTGTGATGAGAGATGGTATGGTAGTAGTGAAGAAAATGACAATGACAGTGGTTATATTTGGTAATGGCTTAAGAAACCTAGGCTTATATTCAGTCCATTATACTCAGTCCATTTGTATAGGGGTCTGTAGCGTTCGCCCTTGTTACGCAATAAGTTATGTAATCATGAGTTATATGCTAATGTGGTTAAGAGGTGGAGCTGAGAGAGATGTTAAAAGGCGGTGCCTGAGAGGAGGAGTCAGTTGGGGTCTGTGTTAGGAATGAGAGGAGGAGGGGTCTGAGGAGTGATTAGTCTGAGTGGAAACTGTGATAATTACTACAGAAGGTTAATTTTGAAGCTTGATGAAACTTGAAGATTGTGCCTAAGAATTGTTCCAGAAACCAACTGTAATCAATAGACCTGTTCTATTAATAAGCCAGTACTGAATGAACCTTCATCTTTTCTGAGTAAAGTAAGTTGATAAGGAGATCAACTGGTGGCAGCGTGTCAGGAGATTTTGGTTTGCCTTTGTGAGCTCTGTGTTTGGGGTCCCTCCAAACCCATGACAGACAGGTAACATCAGTGCTGTATGTAACAATGACAATGACAGTGGTTATATTTGGTAATGGCTTAAGAAACCTAGGCTTATATTCAGTCCATTATACTCAGTCCATTTGTATAGGGGTCTGTAGCGTTCGCCCTTGTTACGCAATAAGTTATGTAATCATGAGTTATATGCTAATGTGGTTAAGAGGTGGAGCTGAGAGAGATGTTAAAAGGCGGTGCCTGAGAGGAGGAGTCAGTTGGGGTCTGTGTTAGGAATGAGAGGAGGAGGGGTCTGAGGAGTGATTAGTCTGAGTGGAAACTGTGATAATTACTACAGAAGGTTAATTTTGAAGCTTGATGAAACTTGAAGATTGTGCCTAAGAATTGTTCCAGAAACCAACTGTAATCAATAGACCTGTTCTATTAATAAGCCAGTACTGAATGAACCTTCATCTTTTCTGAGTAAAGTAAGTTGATAAGGAGATCAACTGGTGGCAGCGTGTCAGGAGATTTTGGTTTGCCTTTGTGAGCTCTGTGTTTGGGGAGACAACTAGGGACCACGAGGGTGAAAGTCACAGGGTCCATTATGCAGAGTCCACAACTTAGACCACTTACATGCATCATAAGTGATTTCCAACCTATACTTGACAAGAACACTTCACCAAGAAGCCCTTGGTGAGAAAACCCATACTTGCCTACAGACAACTCCCAACCTCTGGCAAATACACACAATAGACCATAATACAGACTGGAGGGCTACACTCTGCCAGTTCTGACCTCTCATTTTTCTGGCAACATGATCATGGGACCTAACAATTCCACACACAATATCAAAGGCAGCTTCACTCATTCCTCAGCTAATTGTCATCTACACCATCTTTTGCCAACAATGCCCCTCTACACTCTACATAAGACAAACAGGAGAATTCTATGGAAAGAGATCAACAGTCACAAATCTAACATCAGAAACCACAATACACAGAAACTTGTCTCCAACCATTTCTTCACTACTGTCATGCCCATCTCTCATCACAAGGCTCTAAGGTAAAAACTGTCTATATTCCCTACATTAACACACGTGATTCCTCTGCCAACTTCTTTAAACCTTTGTTTCTCATCTTGAGGTTTAATGAATCTTCAAATCCCCCATTCCCCCTCACCTGCTCAGACCTGGTGTCTATCTTCCTGAGGCATTTTTACAACAAGACTGTAAAACAAACATAGGCCAAGTTACTGCATGTAACCAATGAATATGTGGAATGTGAAACTTATACAGTGGTGCCTCAATTTATGAACTTAATCCATACCAGAAGATAGTCGTAACTCAAAATGGCCGTACGTGATTCCCATAGGAATGCATTGGAATGTGATTGATCTGTTCCAGACAGGGAAAAAATTACCAAAAAACCAAACAAAGCACTGCAAGCCCCATTGGAACACGTCAGGGTCGGATAAAAAAAAATCACCAAAACCCAAAAAACAATGCAAGCCCCATTGGAAAGTGTCGGGGCCGGGGGGAAAAATCACCAAAAACAAAAACAAAACAAAACAAAATGCAAGCCCCATCGAAATGCATCGGGGCTGGAAAAAATCACCTCCCCCCAAAAAACACAACACAACAAGCCCCATCGGAACGCGCTGGGGCTGAAAAACACACACACACACACAAAACAAACAGAGCAAGCCCCATTAGAACGCACTGGGGCTAAAATACACACACACACACACACACACACCAGAGCAAGCCCCATCGGAGCACGCTGGGGCTGAACCCCCCCCAAAAAAACCAGAGCAAGCCCCATTGGAATGCACTAGGGCTGAAATCACACCAAAAAAACCCTCAAACAAAGCAGGCCCCATCAGAACATGCTGGGGATGGGGGAAACACCACACCAAAACACACACACACAAAAATCACAGCACAGAAACATAACCCCCCAGCCCAAACCCACCCTGTAAAACCCTGTATGTACTCATTCAGAAGGAGAAAGCAGCACCAGGCAGTCTGAAGCCTCCTCTGATGCACACTCTCTAACTGTTGGGATGAAAGAGCTACAAAGAAGCAGCCTCTTCGCCGACCAACGGTTAGTACATTTGAATTCCCTGCCTTTTCCCCCACCTTATTTCCAGTCTTAACTCAAAGCTCCGCTCACAAGTCGAAGCAAAATTTTGCGGCCGTAGCTGGTTGTAACTTGAAATGGTCCTAAGTCGGGACGTTTATAAGTCGAGGCACCACTGCATTTCATATACATTTCATTTCATTCTGTCTCTTAATGTCTGATGAAGTGGGCATGTCCACGAAAGCTTACATTAAAATATAATAGTCATTAAGGTGTCACATGTTTTTGTCTTTTTGTCTTGTTTTGTTTTGTTTCTTTGGATTTTGCCTGATATGCTTTTGCAGATTAACACATCTGCCTCTTCCAAAACTGCTTCCATTTCACAGTTCCTTGTAGGTGGACTCTTCCTTCATTTGAGGTGTTTAAACAGAGGCCATCTGTCAGACATATTTATCTGTGGATTTCCTCCCTTGGCAATAATTGCCCTTAGTGACCATTCCAGTACTTTCTGGCGTTGATTTCATGCCCACTGAGCATGCTGAGTCTTAATGTAGAAGTATTTCAGTTCTTTAACCACACATTATCCATGGTAGGCATACTTCTGCATACCTTGGATGTGCAGGATTGCAGCTCTTCCAGAATCTCCCTTTTCTCTGTCAGTGTTGGCTACATGAGGTGATTACTTTGGGGCCTCATTTCATAGCAAGATGACTTTTTAAAAACACAGCATAAAATAGCATTACCTAATTTACATGAGGAAAGCCCTTCCAACATTTTCCAAAACACTAGTGGGCTTTCCAGGCTTGGGAGTGTAAAGTTTCTTTCAAGAAAGGGTAAAGAGCTGCAAAAGGATGTAGTGCTATATATAATCATTATTATTTGACAAAAGAAAAAAATAAATAAAGCTGTGATGAATATCCTGTACAAAAGTCTGCTATGAATTCAGTTGGGGCACGAAAATCATGATGTTTGTTCTGACTTTTTTGAAGGGGAGACATATCTGGTGGACAGGATTGTAAGACCTCACATGAACCTAGTCCCAAGTTGTCTAGGATTTAAAAACTAAAAGACTGAAATTAAGAAAATGTAAAAATCTGATTCTGGAAGAGCACAAAACCACTCACACAATGTGTGTATTCCTTTTCACCCACTCCTTTCCATGCAAAAGGAAACACAAAACAGATGGGCTTACCATGTAACCAATATGGCATTGCACTGTCAGACTCAGACATTTCTCCCCATTTATCTGTCACCACCCTCATACAGCATTCTCATATGACTCAAGCTTAATTAATAGGACAACAAAGCCCCAAGCATTAAAACTGCTTATTATGGCTTTGTTCCAGTTGAGGTTTAAGAACTGTCTTTGAAGGCAGCTGTGCAAAAAATTCAGTCTGATGATCTGCATTTTTTTTACACCAATCGCACAGTCATTGGTGTCTATATATGAATGGCAGAAGTATGGAAAACAAACAAGAAGAAATAGAAATCTT